TCTTGCAATCCCACTACTAGGCATCTACTCAGAAGAAAAAAAAATCATTCTATTATAAGGACATTTGCACTAGATTGTTTATCACAGCTCAATTGACAATCACCAAGATGTGGAAATAAGGAATGCTCATCAACTAGTAATGGATTAACAAACTGTGGTATATGTATACCATGGAATACTATTCATCCATAAAAAGATGGAGACTTTACATCTTTTGTATTAACCTGAATGGAGTTGAAACACATTCTTCTCAGTAAAGTATCATGAGAATGGAAAAGTACATATCCAATGTACTCAGTACGAATATGAAGCCAGTAGATGATCTAACTCATGCCCACATAGAAAAACTCACTTCAATTAAAGTTGGGGGAGGGGGAATGAGGAAAGGGGAAGGGGACTTTGGGATGCTTCCACTTAATGGGCACAATGTAGAGGTGTATGGCACGTGGGACACAACTACAACAGGGACTCTACCTAACAAATTTAAATATTGTGACCTGGTTGTTTGTACCTTCACATTAATCTAAAATTAAAAAAAAAAAAAGAAAGAAAGAAAAGAGTAAGTTAAATTCCTTAATTCATGTTACTTTATAACTCAGAAGTTTTCTGGATTCCAGTTTGGCTCTGGTTCCAGAACTCATCAATATGAAGCTTCTATCTCTTTGTTTCTTGGCTCTACCTTTGCTCAGTGGAAGTGCCAAGTAATCCTCTGTTTGTGATAGCTGAGTTGCAATGCCCACCTTTTAACCAACTTCTGTGGCCCAGGCAGCATCAGATGTATTATCCAGTCACCTGGCCAGCCTGGGCTGAGAGTAAACAGAGGTGAATTCCACAACCACAATTGGAGCTATCACTGGAAGAATAGAAATGAATGGATGAATGCAAATTAAGAACAGCTACCATAAATGGCTAACAATAGACAGATGATCAGAATGAGACAGGGAAACCTCAAAGGAGACTGGATTCTGAGTCCTGAATACCCTCAACAATGAAGCTTAAAAAGCCTCCATTCTTCTAGTTATTACCATGGTCCAAAACTTCAAGCCCTTGTCAAATGTGAGTATTTTATCTTAAGATTTCACTGCTGGTTAAAGGTCCCATTTCATGCCTTTACCTTTATAGAGTGAGACTCAGCTAAGCAAATTTCCCCTTGCCTTTCCTATCCTAGGCAATGAGATAACATTCCTCATTTCCTTAATATCATTTTCTTAAGCAATCCATGTTATTATTCCTGGCTGACGGCTCTAGTCGTGAGATCCTACTATTTACTTAGCCTCGTGACCTTAATTAAGTCATTGAAACTTTCTGAATGTCAGAGTGCTTCTCTGTAAAATGAAGGAGTTGGTTAAATGATCTGAAAGTCTCCTGTTAGATAAATAAATGGAGTGGGAATCTCAGCCTCAGTCTAAATTGTGTCTACTCTTGGGATTCAGACATGACTAGCCATGTCTGGGAAACTCAGAAAACAAGGGTTGGAGACTCCTAAGGGGGAAAAGGAGCCAGATAGAATCAGCTGGAATCATGATCTCTTTCACCTGGATTTCCTCTCAGTCTCCATCTTTCAGCAGTTCCTCTGAAATCCTCCATAAATGGCAATGGTGGTAAATAAAATTTGAAACAAAACAAAACAACAAAACATGTTCCACAAGGTTGTTGTAAAAATGTGTAACTCAGAAGGGAAAAAGAGATATTTTCCTCCCTCCCACCATAGCTCACCAGGCAGAGTCAGCAGACCAAAGAACCTAGAACATCCTCTCCAACTAAATAGGTAAAGGAACAAACAAAGATCTCCCTCATAGGAAACTTGCTGCCAGCCTCTGCCTACCAACTTTTCAAAAATCTTAAGATGTGAACTTGTGGTTAAAGACCATGGATTAAAAATACACAGTTGACTTGGTCCTTCCCTAAAACATCACTCAAGTGATACCAGGGAATTTTTCAAAAGCCTACTAGGTCAAAAGAATGGAAAATAAAATAGAGATGATAGCAACTGAACTTTGCAAGCCCAAAAGTTAAAGAATGACTAAGGACTGATTTAGAAGGCCAAAGAACACTTAGCCTTAAGCCCCAGCTGAGGAAAGACAAAGACAATCATATTTGCACTGAAGAAGCATCCCCCACCACACCAAAGGCTTAGATAATTATGGCACCAGGTACCTCTAGCAGTGGAGGTGAAGGTGAAACCAAAATACAGATGAAGTAAAAGTGGTTAGAGCACTCCTTCATCCCATGCAGCTGAATAACTGTCTTTTTGTCTATTCTGGCCCCATAGTAGAGGTCCATTTTCTGCATGGGCTCAAAGTCAAAGAGTCATCCATTCAGTTGAGAGATGGAATATCCTGCTCCATGTTGAAAGCCCACATCTACCTCCTCTCCTTGAATCCCAAAAGCCTTGGACCTGTGATCCAAATAGGAGAATAGAATCTAAGAGGCCAAAAGAAAAGACTTACAGATACTGATGTTCTTCAGCCAGATCCTCCCATGGTGAAGACCATAGAGGCAGGCCTCTCTATATTCACAGAGTATCCCATCATCTTCTTAACCTCCAAGCTTAAATGGGAGCAGAAAACCCAGACAACTGAGCCCAGACTATTCACTACACATGGTATAGATGATAGATTCATTTGCAAACTTTTGGTTTCTCTTTCTTTCCCACAGCAAATTATAAACTCCAGGAAAGCACAAGGCAGGATTCACTCATGTATATGTGTATAGCAAATAGGTGAGAAGGGACACCAAGAAAGGGACTCCAAAGGGGGTAGGAGGAATACCCAGCCGCTTAACCCTCTAGAGGGCCTGTAAGAATGTGAGTATATGGTAACCAAGGTAACCAATGACCAATAGAAAGAGACAATAACCAATAACCAGTAGAAAAGGGTGATACTGCCTAGAGGCTCAAAGAGGCCAATGAAAGACTTGCAACCAATTTCAAATGGAGAGAAAGGTATTTATACCCCTGCTGGTCTTTGCATCTCCATCTTTCTCACCTTTTCTCCTTCAGGAGGGGGACCCACTTCCAACTCTCTTTGGAAGGCCTTTAAACTTTCTCTTTGTTCATCCTAAATAAAATTTCTCTTTGTTACACTAAAACTTGTATAGGTTACTTTTGCTTTGTGTCCACACTGTCTGTGCTGTACCAGTTTCCATTCATTTTTGCTCTCAATTACTGCCATGCCTCGTTGAACTTTCTATCTCAGCCAAGTAATGGAACGAGCTCAAGTGTGTTTGGGAAACTGGAACCTCCAACCCCTAACAATAGGTGTTTGATATTTGCTTGTATACAGACATGAATGAGCGAATGAGTAGGTGAATGAATAATGGCTGAAAGAAATAAAGTAGCAGAAGCTGATGGGTGAAAATAAAACTAATTTGGGTAAACATGAGTACTTCCAGAAATATCTGGAGAGAGTGGTTTATAAGGTAGATTGGAGGTCCTATGTGGTGAGCAGCTGGGAGCAAGGACATAAATTCAGCAAGACCCATGCAAAAGAGACTTAATTGACATATTATACATAGGCTAGTGAGCATTAGTAACATTTGGATGACTTGAATAGCATTGTTTATTTATTGAAAGTTTTCTACATGTTAGATTCTTGGCAAAGCACTTTCTCTTAATTAAACCTTAAAATAGTCCTGCAAATGTATTATTCCCATTTTGATAGATGAGGAAACCGCTGTTCAGATAGATTAAGTAATTTTTCCCAGTTAACCCATTAATCAGGGAAAAGGCTGGAATTCCAACACCTGTCATCCTACTCCAAAACTCAGTCTGCCTCCCCTACTCCACCCTGCCGCCAAAGGTGTGTCTCTCTTCACTTAATATAATGTGATCATCCTCCTATTAATCAAGTTGTCTCTGAAAACATGGTTTCTGTTTCGCATTCTCTTTCATCCTGTGGGTAGACCATAATTTATGTAACTAGATTTCTAATGTTACGCAGTTCGTGATTCCAGTTTTTTCAAATGTTACAAATAACATTACACACATAAAAATGTAGAACGCGTCTCTAATTATTTCCTTAGGATAAAGTCCTGGAAATGTTTTTACTTCAAAGATTAGCAACATGTTGAAGGCTTTGACAGGTACCTTTCTTCTGCCTCGGGGGAAGTTTGTTGATTCCCAGCAACCGTGCAAGACATGCCCGTTTCATCTCACTCTTGCCAACACTGGGAATTATAATCCTTTCTAGTCTTTGACAGTCTGAGGTGCAAAAAATGGTGTTGCTCTTTCATTTTCACTCTGTTGACTGAAAATGAGGTTAAAAGCATTAAATATATAGTATTTATTGGATTTTTCATATTATATATATATATATTTTAAGAATGGCTGACACATCCTTCGCCCGTTTGTTAACTGGGGCTTATCTTATCCTTCCTAATTTGTGTTACCTCTTCGTGTAAAAGAACTCCTTTTGCTTATATGAAAAGCAAAGGTTACAGCCCCTCATTTGCCACTTGCGTCTTTAACTCTAACAATCTCTGTGCTTTACGTCTCTCTTTTCCTCAAAAATGGCGACATTCATTCGTTCATTCATTTTGTTTGGATGGAAATAAGAAGGTTGAGCTTGAGCAGGAGGATTTTCTCAATGAGAGGGCTGGGATCTTGAGTGAAGGCTAGGGGGAAGGAGGGACATGAAAGGGTCCAGGCTCCAACTCTGTTAGAAAGACAGAAAAGACACTGGAACATGTGTCAAGACAAAAAAATAAAAATTGGAGCATGGAGAAGGTGTATAAGGAAAAGAGAAAGAACTAAAAGGCCGCCAACTAACCAGGAATAACTTTCTAAAAAGCTTTATATCTGCCCGGTGATGAGTTAAAATACGGTGTCCCAAGGGGAAAAAGAATTTTTTTTTTTTTTAACATGTAACAGTTTTCTTAACTTGTAAAAAAATGTGACTGATAGAGGAACATTTTTTTAAAGGATCTCTAACAGGGGAGCTTCCTCCCTCTGCAGGACACCCTGCACTGCTGGGTTAGTTTAGAAAATTACACATGTGCGTGGGGAGAACTTGGTATCCATGACTGTGGAGGGGCCACCCCCCAGAGATACTGGTATTGCTTGAGTACCCCTTGCTGGAGCTGCAGGAGGCCCTGGAGTTGGTAGGGCAGCTGGCAGAGGAGTACCAGCTGGTGTACCAATTCCTCAGGCTCCTGCTGGGTTAGCAGGCCCAGTCCCAGGAGTTGGGGGACCATCCCAGCAGGTAATGACTCCACAGGGAAGAGGTGCTATAGCAGCTGCTGCCATTGCTGCTACTGCCAGCATTGCTGGAGCCCCAACCCAGTATCCCCCAGGACGAGGGACCCCACCTCCCCTGTAGGCAGAGCAGCACCACCTCCGGGCATTATGGCTCCTCCACCTGGTATGAGACCACCCATGGGCCCACCAATTGGACTTCCCCCTGCTCGAGGGATACCAATAGGTATGCCCCCTCCAGGAATGAGACCCCCTTCACCAGGAATGAGAGGTACACCTCCCCCAGGAATGCGTCCTCCCAGACCTTAGGATACTGATACTATTGCTACATCTCAATCACTCCCCCCTCACCCCGCCATGTGTCTTGTGAAATTGTGTAGAGTGTTTGTGAGCTTTTTGTCCCCTTTCTGCATTAAGAATAGCTAATAATAAATGCATAGAGAAATTAAACTGTGAAAAAAAAAAAGAAAGAAAAGTATACATGTAACCTTGGGGCAGAAACAAATAGATGCGGGCCCTATACACCCCCGTCTGATGCCAATTTGGAACGTGGCCTATTTGCCCATTGGAGGGGCCACATTCTCAATTGCAAACTTCATGTGTGTCTGTCCATGTCAGCAATCCTGAAGGAGGAGTTAAGTTTCATGTCTCTGTTTCTAAACTTACAGTTTCATAAGGAAAGCACAAAAATCAGCTTAGGAAAACTGAAGCGTGTATAGGATGAACTATGTCCTATTTACTAAGTAACCACAGATAATAGAAAGCTGTAGTACCACACATACTTGTTAACTATTAACCTCTGCAGAGTGCGTAGGGAAGGCCTGCAATGTGTCTTTTCCTCGGTCAACATCCTAATCTTTCCTTCATTTGTGTATCTGCCTTCTGCGTCTGCCCCACACCGCTCTATTTCCTCTCCTGATGAGTTCCCCACCTAACCGTCCTTTGCTTTAATTGCAGAGCATACGTTAATTGCATAGTGTTCTTCTTTCCCCAGGATTCAAATTTAGTTTTAAAATGTAAGCATGCTATTAATGTCAGTATCCATCGATTTGGCCAGTAATTCTTTGTATTTACTTCTAAAATACTGAAATTCTACAGATTCCTTTTATTCCAAAGCAGATTCATTCTGTCTTCTTAAAAGAAAATGCAGCCTTCCCTGTTCTAAATAAAGAAAAGAGTCTTCCTGACTTTTTTGGAGGCAGATATCACAATTTAGTCTAACCTTCTCCCTGTTCATTAGATAAAAGTTATTTAGTTGGTTATTTCCCGAGCCCCACTATTAAATGTTCTCTCCCGTCACTGTGGCAGGTGGGAGCAAAGGCAATTTGCTGTCTGCTTGTTGGATTTTACTTTTTAGCTGTTCCAACCCCAAGCTGTGGTAGCCGCATGCGTGGCTTTACAAAGCCAGTCAACTTTGTTTACCTGGGTTTGCAGATTTCTAGTTTACCAAGGCGTTAAGAGCACAAAACTAATTTTACAAAACCCCAATTCTTCCGACAAAAGAAGGCTTGGGACTCAATAGACATCGGATTACTTTAGTTGGTACAGTACCCAGGGTTAATGTGATTCTGTGATGCAATCTCTCAGACATTTTCCACGCTCAGACACAATGGGAGTTCAGGGACAGAAAGGGTAGGTGAGGAATCAGACGTAGTGCGGATCTGTGGAATTGGAGCAACAGTGACAAGCTGAAGGACAGATGTGGGTCAGGAACGGAGTGTACACTTCCAAAGCATTTCCTAAAGGCTGCAGTGTTACCTCGCCCAATGCAGTATGGACTTGAAGAGTGGCTTAATCACGTTCTCATAACCTGTTTTAAATTGGGGCTAGAGGAAAATGTGGGAAAAGATTGTAATAAAATAAATCAACGAGAAAATTAGATTTGCTTCACCCGAACTCAGTTTACACTTAGAAGTCAAGGTGAGAGGCATGTTTGCTCCATAAAGTCAGAGCACACCGTAACCTACACTTCAGCTGAAATCAGAGCTCTCAAAGGCACCAGGTTATGGGAAATCCAAGGCAGGGTGGATTTTAATGCATTTGTACCCTGTTTTAGGGATCCGTTTTTATTGATTACTGACTTTGTAGATCTCGTTCCTGGCTCCCACCCTCACTTGCACCCCCTATGTCTTTCTTGCTAACAGAACCTCTGGTTTGCTCACCCTCTTCTGAACAGCCGTGTCCTTTAGGGGAGGCTGAGCCCTTCCTCAGCCCCCAAGGGTGAAATTGGGGTGAACCAAGGTGCTTTCAGTCCTCTTGAAATGGAAGTATTTCTAAACAGGGAGGTCTGAGGGGTTATCTGCTGAAGGGCATCTCAGGACGACTTCAGCAAGACTCTCTAGGGCAGTGATTTTTAATGGCTGCACCGTGGCACACTGGTGGACTGTGAGAGGATCTCGGGTGTGCCCAGAAAATTTTTAAAAATCCTTAGTTAAATTATTTTTGAAAGAAGTTCAAAGCGTAGTAAGTATATTCTTTTCTTTATTCTTGTTTCTTCATCAACGTAATTTAAGTGTGCCATGGAAGTTTAAACACAGGTTCAAGTGTGCTGTGAGATAAAAAAGTTTAAAAAACACTGTTCTGGGGGCATTTTTAACCCCTGAACTAGGAAACCAAATTGCAACCAGGGTTGCCATGCCTAGGGACCTGATGACACATTAAGGATACAGAAAGAGGGAAACCAGCTCGGTGCCTGTGGCTCAAGTGGCTAAGGTGCCAGCCACATACACCTAAGGTGGCGGGTTCGAATCCAGCCCAGGCCCGCCAAACAACAATGATGGCTGCAACCAAAAAAAAATAGCCAGGCGTTGTGGTGGGCACCTGTGGTCCCAGCTACTTGGGAGGCAGAGGCCAGAGACTCACTTGAGCCCAGGAGTTGGATGTTGCTGTGAGCTGTGATGCCACAGCACTCTACCCAAGGGGACAGCTTGAGGCTCTGTCTCAAAAAAAAAAAGAAAAAAAGAAAGAGGGAAACCATCTGAGTCTCTAATAACAGTATTGAGACATCCAGACTTTGGGTCATGTGAGCTGAGAAGTGTCTTTGTAATTTAAGACATTTTTCATCAAGTTTCTCTTACTTTTAGCTGCAAGCATCCTTCTGCTACAGGTGGCATGTGGTTTAGAACTACCAGTAGACACATCTTTCAACTATTTGATTACATGTTCATTCTGTGGCAGAAACAAGTTACTCAAATATATCCTATAACATGAGACTATCCAGTGATGACTAACAAAAAGACAACAGAAAATCTAGCTCAGTGGTGATCTGTATCAGGCATTCAGTCCTTTTCAGACCAGTGGAATTCACTCTCTTTTTGCACATTGGGTCCAACGTTTGAATTTTGATTCCATGTTCGAGTCCAAAGTTTTTAGCACGTTCCATGTTTAACCCTGAAATTATTAGCACGTTGTGACTGAACATTGCTGATTGAGCTTTTTCAGCTTCTTAAAATCCATTACCAAGATATTTACAACAGCTGATATAATCAGCCTGTGTTTTAAGAGCTATTTCATGAGTGAGATTTCCTTATTGGCCAAAGGTACTTTCCTATGGAATTTCTTCCATTACCTTTCCACAAGCAACCAATGGAGCACATTTTAGATTCCTTAAATGTGTTCTTTGCCCATTCTCAGATTCTCTTCTTACCTATTTTCAGATAAGGGGATTAACTATCTCTTCATTTGAGACTGAATACAATTTAATCATCTTTTCCCAGATGGTCAGTTTCTCCCTCACTTGTGCAGGCAAAACTTATGTGTGTGTTTTTTTAAGGAGCATTTAAAAGATAAGACTCAAATTTAGCTCCCAGGAAGATCTCTGAAGCTATACACCAGTAGAGCATAAGCTCTGTAAGGTTAATTCTTGAAACCGTTTTGTTCACCATTGTTCGTGCAGTCAGAGTGTACTAGTATAGGGCCAGAGTGTAGATATTCAACAAATACTTACTGAAAATAAAAATAGGAATGAAACTTCTCTAGAGTTCTGCATTAAAATCAGGGATGAGGCCAACCCATCTTCTTCATATTCAGTTGAACCATGTGGAACTGCTGTCTTTGTACATTAAAAATAGGAGCTTGGCTATCTCATAGGGTATAACCTAATAACAAATAAAGGCTCAGAAAGCTAAAGATCGTACGTCAACAAAGCTGAACTTGGGATACGTGTTCTTCTCACATAGCTTATTTACTGAGAAAGAAGAGGTCCACCCATTGCCATGGCAGCGTGATGGTTGATATTCGGTGTGCTATTTGTTGTGGAAGTGATAGCATGCAACATGTGACTGTAAGAGGTCAACAGCCCAACACCCCTCTGAACAGGCTGCCTGACTGCCAGGGAGGTGTCAGACTCGCTGTCTTTGCTCAGCCTGGCGGGAAGCCAGTTGCACTGCCGTCACCTGAGCCTGGAGATAACGCTGGGAAAGCCAGCACCTGCTATCTGCAGCTTCGTCACTGACCTGTCTAGACTCACAGAGACCTTAGGAGTCATCTGTCCTTCCTCCACCTTCATCTGAGAGACGAAGACATTGAACTTTGAGAGAGGAGGCAGTTTTCTCAGAGTCACATAGACAACGCAGGAATATGAACACCAGATAATGGTACATTCTTCACAAAGGATGTGGGTTTCACACCCTAAAGGCCTGAATCTGTTTCAGTGGGTACAATCTCTTGAGCTGGATACCCTCTCTCCTTCCCCTGCCCTGGCCAGCTGCACTCAGAGTAGCGATCTCTCCTTGGAAAGGCATCATCTCAGTAGTTAAAGCTCCTCCTTCTGGGATTTTTGATGTGTCTTCCTGTTTGTTTTTCTGCACCTCAGGCTCCCCTTTGGGTCTTCTGGCTCCTGTCTCCCTGGGTTTTGGGTCTTTCAGCTCACTCTGCAGACTGAGATCAGTCTCTATGGCTTGTTTTCTACCTGTATGACTTTTGTCCAGCTTATTTTCCCAATTCAGGTTCTTTTTCTTACCTCAATTCTGAATCACCATCTTCCTTACTGAACCCTTCAAATGTTGCCCTTTGATTTCCTTTCCTGTGCCCACAGGAACATCAACACCAGAGTTGCCCCATACTGGAATGCCTTTCTTTAAGATTCACCTTGATTTTTCCTCCTGGGTTGTAAACTCAGCCTCACATAAACGTAAGGGCATTTGGTGATTGCTAACTGTCACAGTCTATTCCCACTGCTATTAAAAAAAAAATAACCTTAGACGAGGTAACTAACAAAAACCAGAAATATATGTCCTGCAGTTCTGGAGGCCGGGAAGTCCAAGATCAGTGCACTGGCACTTTGCATCTGGTGAGGACCTTTTTACTGTGCCTGCATGTGGTGGAAGAGATGTAAAGGAGAAAAGGGCCTAGCTAGTTCCCTCAAGCCCTTTTCTAAAGGTAGTCAGCTCTTGTGTCCTCATCACCTAAAGGCCCTCCTTCCTAATATGATCACATTGGTTCAGAGGTTCCCC